CTTCTGTCTTGCATTCTGTCTTCTCTTCTGCCTTCTCTTCTGTCTTGTCTTTTGCCTGCTCTTCTGCCTTCTCTTCTGTCTTGTCTTCTGCCTTCTCTTCTGCCTTCTCTTCTGCCTTCTCTTCTGCCTGCTCTTCTGCCTTCTCTTCTGTCTTGTGTTCCGCATTCTTTTCTGTCTTGTCTTCTGGCTCCTCTTCTGCCTTCTCTTCTACTCTGTGCTCTGTAGCTCGTTCTGGCTTCTTCTCCTCTGCCGTTTCTTGGATCCCCTGACCCTCTGATTGTTGCCGTTTCTCCACATCTGACTCTACTCTTTGCTCCTCTTCCTCCGCCTTTGCCCCGTTCTCAGGTTTCTTCTTGGCTTGTTCCCTACTCTCTTCTTCTACATCCGTACCTGAGTCAATTTTCTTTGGCTCCTTGAAATCCTGTGGCTGATCCAGCCCAAAACCAGCAACCACAGCGGCATCTTGCCCACCTTCAGACATGTTGGTTGGCCGCATGATTAAACAAAAGTTTGGAAATGAGTGCTGTTGGGCCTCCAGTGTTTAAATCCAGTGGAAACAGTGAAACAGTATCGTTTTCATATACCTGGCCTTCACTGTGTCCCAAATTAGCGCCGCTAAAGTCACGAGCCAAAGACCTGCAAACTGTTTTCGATTCAACAGGCGTCGAAGGTTCAGTTTCAGACAAAGAATCCACGATCTCAACAGGTCCCTGTTGCAGCTCTACAGCCAGCAGCGTTCCATCAAACAGCTGAGTCTCCATGTCGTCAGTGGCAGCTGCCCTGACCTGCTGTGGCACAGCCTTTGTCTCCTTTTGGATCTGCGGAGTTGGCTGTGATCGCAAAGCCAGCATGTTCCTAGGCGGTGGATGATCAAATCGTTGGGCTACCAGGGCTACCCCTACTCAGACAAGACCACCTCCCCAAACCACATCGTCAAAATATCAATCATCAAAAAAAGGAACAGGACAGGTAGCTTCAAACGGGCAATCCGTTCATCAATCTCTTTACTCGACATTGAGGTGGACACTGGCGAGGGAGTGAATGGAACTTTGGTCAGTGCTGCAGGAGACACAGCTTGCTTCAGGTCGGGCTTGTGAACTGCTGCAGGTCGCATATCCACCTGCTCTCGAGCATCAGCCTGGTCTTGACCCCCAACCTCATTCTGAATGGCCGCTGGGACAAGGTAAGGGTCTTCCTCCAATGGACTACCAAACAAGTCTTCCTCACTCTCCTCACACTCGCCCTTAACCTCAAATATATTGCTGAGATCGGTCTCCTCTTCCTCCTCGTCAAGGTTGACCACCACTGGCTTTGATCGCTGCTTGGCAGCCCGCTTGACCTTCCAATGCTTGGCGAGCTCTTCATAAAACTCATTCACCGTCGGGTCCTTATTGCAAATGGGCTGAAAAAAAGAACATGCGTGCATGCACCTTGCACATCTTAGACCAATCCAGTGTGCGTGAACAGGCTTTAAACCGTTAAAACAATTAAAGTCACATCCACATAATTGTATTGGCTTTATACAATGCAAGTATCCCGTCTCACAGGGCTATGCTGCTTGCCGCTTCGTGCATCCATGGTAAACCCTGCTTTGCGGCAGCCATAGGTAAACAACTTCTTGAGCCCCCATGTGTCCGCTTGAAGGAGGGCCGGGTCATTTGGATACCCGCATGCAGACTTCATGTCCTGGACCTGCAGGGCCACATGTAATGTTTTGAAGGTATCCCAACAATTGATTCACCAATACAACCAGATCCAAACATGGTGGCAGTTGATGACCATTGTTTACAAAACAACATAGTTTAATCCCATCAATCACCTGTTTTCTCAACAGGTCAATGCTGGGCGATTTGACATCATCCTTACATCGCGGGCACCAATATCGGGCTAGGATTGCGAGGGCTCTCACATTCATGGCTATCGTTGTCATTGATAGCTGCCCCACCAACTCGTTACCGGTTTTGGAATCCTTCGCCCAGCGCATCAGCTTTCCCTGCTCGTTGGCGCGCAGGCGGTTGCGGATCCGCTTGTCGGCTTCGAGCATGCCGGCCAAAGTGTCTGGGCCTAGCACAGTTTCCTCAGCCTCGAGCTCCAAAAGGTCATCAGCAGCAGCAGCAGCAAAGGATGGCATGGTGGGCACAACCAAGCTTGGAGTTCAATGTCGAGTGTACCAGTGGTCGACCGGCCGTTCCAAACATGTTCCAACCCTGTTTTATAAGTAACCTTTTAACTTCTTATTCATCATGCAGTTATGGTGTCAGTTGAGTCATGGCTCTGACACCAGGCATGTCCTGTAAGATGGATCTAGAGGCTTGTGGCTACAGAATCACATGCAGCATAATTTGCAAGATGGTTCTGGAAGCTCTAGGTTCCCAGCCACACTGGGAACATCACATGACCTCCCTATCCAAATCACATCCAGTGGCGTGCTCAGTAAGGCGACCACCCATATATAAACATGCAAGGTCAACCTGATAGGTGAGATCGCAGTCAATGGGATCCAAAGTGCACCTGCATGGAAAGTGGAGCCAAGGAGCTGGTGATATATGAGCTATTGTTCAAACTGACGTGCATGTCTCCAGTTTCCGAAGGACACCAAAAAAGGACTCAGGATATAGCTAAGATTCGTTATGCCATGTGTGTTTATTTTCTTTATTTACTGCCGTTCACTCAACCTGCAGTTTAGTCGGGCCAACCTTGCTCCAGTAGAAGACGTATAGCGATCAGAAGCCAACATGAGCCCCATCCCATGGCTCTTCAACAGGTTGGAGGTTCATTCCATGTAGTTGGTTTGAACTCTAGGACTTTCACCAGGTTTGAGGATTCCATGGACTTGGTTGAAGTTCTATAGAGGGTTGTTCTGTGAGTTGGGTTCATCATACCCTTCAACTAGTGAGTCTAAACGAACCCATTCCAAGCACCAAGC